AGAGAGCCTGCATCAATCAGGCGAAGCACTCAGCCCTGCAGGCAGTGGCAGGTTGCAACCCTTAATGTCAGATCTTCCTCTCTATTGTCTGTCTGGGCTTCTGCAGCATTTTCATATCTTTCTTGTCATATAATCAAAACAGGAGACAAAAGCAATTAAAAAACGGCACCCCACATTTTCAAAAACAATTTTTAAGTGCAAATATATATATATAATACAAGCTCTTTGATCTTACGAAAAATTTGGGTATTACACAATTCACATTACTAATGGATTTCAATAAAATAAAGCTTGAATTAAATGGCTTGTTGACATATAGGTGGTTTTGCTTCCCAATTAAATGACCAGGTGAAGAATTAATGCGATTATGTTTTTTTTTATTTTCTACTGCTCTCTGGTGGTGAAGAAGTGGTGGAGCATTTGAAGGGAGAGATTTAAGACAGATCTGGATTATTTGTATATTATTATATTATTATTAAAATGTACATCGTGACATTGTGGCTCTGAGTTGTTTTCCTCGTCCTTTCTATGTTTTATTATTTTTTTTTTTTTTACTTTAAACAGTGTCTCATGCCTTTATTTCAACAATAGCTCCTTCGTACCATTCTTCTCAGATTTGAGAAGTACCGAGCGGCCATATTGACAGATTGTTTCACCTGAGCTGCAGATCCTGGCAGTTCCACCAGAGTCGCCACAGATCTCTTGGCTGCATATCTGATTAATGCGTTGCTCACTCTAGCGGTAGAGTAGTAGAAGAAGTTAGAAAAAGGGTTCAGTTTGTCCTGTGGCAGCATAACTATAAAGATAAGCCAGTCCAAGTTTTATCATAATACTTTGAAGCTTATCATATCTCGAAATGAGAATAAATATTTAAGGAGTGTAACAACAAACCCTACATCCACTGCATAAACTCTTCTGTAGGCACATTGCTTATCCAGTTTTAATACATCCTGATAAAATTAGTTTATAACAAAGTTTTGGTTAAGTTGTAGATTTGATGGATCTGCATGCAGTGCACAGAGAGAAAATGCAGTAAAGCCTAAAAAATTGATGCGCTGACACATTTTGATTTATATATTTTGAAAACAACACCCTCAAGAGAAATCAACAGGTCTTCCCCAAACGAATTTACCCTGCAGGATTGTTCGGGTTGTCCTTGGCTGTTTTGGTGGGTTAATGTTGCACTCAGCAGACCGATGCTTCTTCCGTGATGATAGAAAAGCAATCCCATGAGATCGACACCAACTTTAGGAAACTGCCAAAAGACTCGCCACATATCACCCCGTTAGGTTATTTTTTATTTATCTCTTTTTTCAGTGAGAGTAAGATGATGAACAGAGAATTCATTAAGTGTCAGTGTCACTGTGAGCGCTTCATCTCCACTGGAGTATTTGTGGAGTTCTAAATGACATCTCCACACTACAAGGTCACACTCTCACAGCAGGCTGTCACCAAGCCTAAACAAGCTACTGCTGTGCAAAGTAAATTAGATGAAACTTTGCTCTTTCTGTTTTTATATTTTTTAGTTTTTATGTTTTTTTTTACCATACACATCAGCTGAGCCTAAAGCTGTTGTCCTTTAATGCACCCTCCTCATGATTTAAAAATATCCCCACCAACCTTAATTCACATGGGCTCAAAGTTGGTTCAAAAAGATGCATAAACAGGAGAGAACTAGATGTTTTTTTTTCCTGCAGGCCTGATTTAACAGATTGAGCTAAAACATTTAATTTGAAGAGGAAAGATGGAAAAAAATACAGCATGGCAGTGCTTTTGATATTGAATGAGGAAAAGAAAAAATAAACTGGGGATCAGGACTCTGACAGCCAGAACTGGACTGCTGAATTTGTCCCTGAGAGAAAATTAGTCAGAAACAGCTTTTAAGTTCTGCTAACAGGCAGCTCTGAGAGCAGGTCAGGCTTCCTTCATGGTCTGAGAGCTGGAACAGCCTTAACATAGTGCTCTCTCACAGAATACATTCGATTAGACTCCATATAGTATGTATAGTACTTTGATAGCCTGTCCCCACATGTTGTGAATGAATCTTCTAATCTATCCTGAATTATTCTGTTCTGTCCAGATTTTGTGATTCTAATGTTCACAAGAGTTGGCAAGGAGAAAGAGTTTAATTTTCTCTTGTACAAATATGTATAAGAGATGAAACATTGACAAAAAATAAAAAATAAAAAATCAAACATGCTTAAAGCAATTAATCACTAGCACCTTTTATTACATACGATTAGCATGAAAGTCATAATCTTTTGGCTTTAAATTATTTATTTTTTAAGTGATTGTTACAGAGAAATCACACAGTTTTATTCATCCATCATCAAGTTTCTGGCACAACACTGACTGATATTTTTGCCAAATTTCTTGGCAGAATTGATAGACTTCATTTAAACTGGTTGCTTGTTTTGCCATGGACCTGACATGTAAAAGAAAATCCTGGAATGGCTTTTCGGGAGTAACATTCCAGAAACCTACTGCATTACAAAATAAGTTTCATGTAGATTTGGCATCGTTTTTATGTCAAAACACTCAGTTTTGTTGTTGGCTTTCTGCTTTGATGTACAGTTGAAGGCTTTTCTTTTTGTCAGAAGTCCTACATCTTCATAAGTCTGTTCTCTGCAGGGTTCTAGGATTTGAAGACCATACACGGACTCTGCTACACATTCTAGTTTCTGCAGCCACAAAACTCTGTCCTCGTCTCCTCTGTTAATAAATCTTTGAACCAAAAGGCACTCAGCTTGTCCATATGGGAAGCTGCCATTTTTGATCAAGCTATAAGATGTACTTTTTGGATTAGGCACCTTTTCCCATCCTCTGTAAAACTCCGTAAGATTGTCTCCTGTGATGCAAGAGTAACAAAGAAATCATCTTAGAATCTCCTTTCTTCAACTTCTATTAATATTCAGTGTTACTTGAGCTTTCCCAGGTGAGAATACAATAAATGCTGCAAACCACACTAAAGCTGAAAAGATAAAACAAGTTGCAGACAATGTCTAAAGAGAAGTTAATAACTTTCATTATTTGCTAAAAGAAAGTTCTAGAGCCTTCACTGATCCCTCACATTGTATTCCTACTGTTTCTATACTGAATTTATGACAGAAGAGGGCAGAATAAGGTCAGTTAAAAGCTCTGATGAGAGAAAACTCAGTGTTTTTTTATTACAGGATGAGTGATAAGATCTGGCTGTCTGCATGCAAAAACCTTCACTCATTTATTATTTTACAATATTACATCATTTCTGTGAGAGTGAACAGCAAATTAATCACCAGTGCTGTCAGAAGTCTGTTTCCACAAACTGATCTTTCTTTTTTTGACTCGCTGACCTGTGGCTAAAGCAGAGATTTTATCATAGAGGTCAAGACATATCTTCAGATCTCATTTTAAATTGGCTTCCTATATTGAGAGGCCAAAGTGCACACTCAAGAGTGCATGCTGACATTTATAAAGCAGCGGGGACAAAAAAGAACAAAGAAAAGAGCACAAAAAGATCTGTGGAAAGAGCCATTTGGTGGAAAGTGGACTTTATTTTCTAAATCACTGCAATCAATGCCCTGATCCACATGTCAGTGCCCTGTCCTGTCTGGTATTTTCAGACAGATTACATATTTTTTGTCAACCCATACAATCACGCCAGTGTATGCATTAGACAAAAATAAAAGCCTATTTTGCAAATATCTGGAGTACTAAGGAGTCTGTAACAAGAAGTCAATTTTAGGCTCTTAAACAGCAGCCCTGAAATGGATAACATCTGCTGCACCCGAGACACACTGTGGCTTTTTGCCATTTCATAAGTAGATTTCTGATGAATTTGCCCTGCAGTGACTTTGATTAAAATAAATTAGAAAATCCATTTGCAATGTCCCTCCTGCTCCTCCCTCCCATCTGGGTCTGCATCCTAATGGCTATAGCGAAAGGCAACATTTGAGTTTTCTGCACTATTCTCTGCAGCTTGTTCTTAACTTGGTGTGCCTGTCCTATTTTCCTGGGCTAAAGAATAGCATATTAATGAAAAACATATCATTTAGACGCGTGCCTGTGATGGACAGGAGAGCCGCCCTGGACGCACTGGGAAATCTGGGCGATTAAGAGCAGGATAAATCAGGTGTAGAAAATGAGGGTTTCATGCAGAGATGATCAAATTGCTGCACGTTTTCATAGCGCAGCAATTTGTATTCTTTTTTTTTTTTTTTTTATTACTACATAACTTTTTATGCATTTAATGAAAAATGTTACGGATAGTGATACCGTTTCATGGTGTCTGCATACTAATCACAGCTTTTTAAATGCAAATCCTATTTCCTCAGCACCTCCTGATCAAATCATCATGAATCCAACTTAACTTTGCATATTAAAATAATCCTGGTGGGCTGTCAGTAATTATCTCCATTTAATGGGTGAAGATGCAGAATGCATATCCTTTAAATTCAACAACCAGCCTAAGCACAGCCTGATGGTTAAAACTGAGGAGGAAGAGGGCAGCAGAGAGCCGTGTGTTTGCAGAATTCAATTTTATAGTTTTATTTGCTCATAAGATGTTTCCACCGGGTCCACAGCACAAGTTCAGAACACATCAATAATGCAAGTTGTTTTGAATGTTAGGGATAGGAGCTTTACAGAAAGAAATAATGTGAGCAGGCTAATTATCTTCATCAGCAAAGTAACAAGATTCATTAAAATAATCTGATTACATTTATTAAAAAAAACAACAAAAAAACAAAAATAAATCACCTGCTATGCTGCCATATTTACAATGCAGGTTAAACTAAAGAATAAAAAAAGATATTCTGTTTATATATTGATTGTTGAATGTGTGAAATAATACAAAAGTTACTCTAAATCTGCCTAGCTTAGAATTATTACTCGGCATTTCAGGTCATTTCTCTAGTCGTTACTCCAAACCTCAGCTCCTGCTTCATAACATCTCATCTCTTGTCTGTCACCGGCAACTTCAAATATGCTTATTCTTATGTGAGTCACTGTCAGTTGTGTGGGCTCAAAAAATAAATATGAAACGTGCTGCGGTGTTTCCTGGGTCGTAAGTGTGTTTCTGTGGTGTGAGTCATTATGCCATCGACAGGGAAATGCAGTCTCCTTGTCCTCCCACTCTGTCTCTGGGAATGATGCGGAGCTCCGAGCCGTGCTTTAGAAACACGTTCCCTGCAACAGAGGACGGAGAGCTGTGAGGATCACAGTTCATGTTGTGGATGAAAGGGGTCTTTTTACAGTCACTGAAGCTAACGGGAACAAACCCACCTCACCATTTTGAAGCATTTTTTTAAACCCTCTCTCTCTCTTGGCATACCGAAATATTAAGCACAAAATACAAACTACTTGAGAATTACGGGTTTGTATACAAAGACATAGACAAGTTGGATTCAAAAGTTTCAACATAATAACACACAGGGCCTGTAAAAAATATTCATAATTTTCTTTTATGTGATAAAACAGAGCTAATTTGTGTGAAGTGGAAACATTTTTTGAATAAAAGTGCACGATGTACACAAGCATTCATTCTCCATTCTCCAGTGGTTTTTAGGAGACAACATTCACTGCAAATCTTTTGGGGTATGCACATTCAAAGAACACAATTTTAGCTCATTATTGTATGCAAAATAGCTCAAGCTGGAGTTCTTTCCCTCCAGACTTTATTGGAGGGGAAGAACTTTTGAAAGAAATTCACAACTTGATTTAGGTCTGAATGATCAATGGATCATTTCAACACTTAGATATGCTTCAGCCTAAACCTTCCTAATACTGGGTATATATGTGGCAACAGGAAAGAGGGGAACTTCCTTCTAATGGGAATAATCTTGCAGCTGAACCTGACTCAGAGTGAGCAGCCATCTGGCAGCAACAACTGGGGCTTTAAAACAGACCACACACACAAAGCACAGAAGCAGTAGCTCAGGAGTACTTCCCATGTTAAAGAAAGTTTAGTTGGTGGCAACAGTAGCTCATTTGAGTACTTCATCTAGGAGAAAAGCACCACTAAACAAATAAACCAAGTGTTAGACTCTAGACATCTGAGTCATTGTAGAAATGCTAGGCCAAACATGGTAATTTGGCCTAGCATTCTGACACATGTTTGCTGGATTCTCCACATGTAGGAAGCTTTCTTCTTCTCCGTCTTTTATAAAGGTCAGGTCGACGGAGTCTCCCACGTGCCTTGTGGATCCTTGCAGCTGTCATCGTGAGCCTCCTGCCTAAACTTTTCCACAACATCATCCCAACCTGTTTGATGTGGCCTCTTTGGTGCCGTTTGCTCACTAATGTTCATTTAAAAGGACATCCTGTTCTTCCAAAAGAACATCAGTGAGCAAAAAGCAAAAACTGTCTCTTAAAAGAACATGCTGTTCTTTTTAAAGTGAGCAAACAGTGACGCCTTCACAGAGCAGCTGCATTTATACTGAAACTAAATGACACACATGGAGTCTATTTACTTAGGACGTTTTGTAGGCATTTGTTTGAACTGGGTATTATCAAGAGATATCACATAAAAGATGGAAGCTGGGTAAATATAAATGCCTCACTTCAAAATTAGATTTGTGTACATTTAAAAAGAAAAAAATCCCTGTGCATAAATGTCCATTTACTTTCCAATTCTGAACTACACTCTTCACATAAAATCCAATTAAAATGCATTAAAGCTGATTGTAAATTGGTGAAATATGGACAAGTTTGAGTGATTTCACCAAGCGCTGTACACCACAAATTGCAACATTGATTTCTGTTTCATTATTATTATTATTATTATTATTTAACAAGACAATATTAAAACTACACATGGAAATGCAGAGGTTTAGCATGGTCAGAGTACCCACGTGGTCCAGCTCTAATGTTCTGAGACCTTTTGTTACGCCTCAGAGAAGCAGCCTAGTGCAGCTATGCCAGGCTGACATGAGAGAAGTGTGTGAGAAACCCGAGACTAAAATTACCTTCGATCAATTTCAGCTGTGTACTCAGTTGTGTGAACGTGAAGAAACGCGGCTGCAGTGGGTGAAAAAAAGTCAATGTGACAAAGGTGTCTGAACCGAGGCTATTCTTGGCCGCACACAAAGCAGTGTAGTGTAGATAAAAAAGGCGATGTGAAAGTCCAACACGACATACCTCTATATATTTTTATTTTGTTTTGTTCCTATCAGAACAGACTCCACTTTGCCTGAAGCAGGTTGAAGCAGGCATTATCTCACCCTGCATTATGCAGAAAACCCAGTCATCTGTAACTACTGTTTGATGAGGTTGATGACTTGAATGAAGAGAAAGTTGAACCTCCGGGAAACACCAACGAGGCTGAGACATGGAGCATGTGATTCAGTTGGGGATAACAACAATATACGTCACTCAGTTTGGGAGCGACTTTAACCCAAACTGACTGTTACCTCCACTCCTCTTGCAGAGAGGCATCACTGTAAGTTACATTTAAATTCTGAGTCAGTGTGCCTTTTCTTTATACTCGTCACTGTACATAACCTCCTACTTTTTGGAGCACGAACTGCAAGTAACGCTCACATAAAGGTCTTATCTTTTAAGCATGCATAATTTAAAAGGCTTAAGCTTATTTTACTGAATTATGAGATAGTATGCATCACTTTTATTAGACTTTTTAAACGGTTTGGGGATGTGAAATTAACTACTTGCTGCTGTTTCGAAAGAGGAGTCTAAAGCAACCTCTTCGGGATGAACCATATTTTCAGTGGAAGACATATTGAGACTATCTGTAAAGCTGTTAGATGAACAACTGAGGTCTCCCATTGTATTGATGGATCTCTGGGGGGAATACATCACCTTCAGAGCAGCAAGACAGCACACATATAACTGATTTTTGACTTGTGTCTTTATGAACTTTGATTCTTAGATTTGACTTTCAACATTTTTGCCTTTAGAAATATTCTCTGACAGAGTTTGGTGCAAAGTAGTGAGATGTAAGCAAAGATCAGACTGGGTCTGAATGAATACATTCTGACTGTGTGTGTACTCAATGATCCTGAAAGGCAAACGACGAAGCATGTGTTGTGTGACTCACTGGCAGGAACCTATCAACAACACATTTGCGATGCGAGAGTATTTTAAAGTGGATCTGCACAGTACCTATCAGCAGCAAGTATAACTACAGCCCACAGCATTAGAAGGTTCTCCTCTGCTTGTAGAGGAAAACAAAAAAAGAAATGTATGATAAAACGTCATTCTGGCCTTCCACTGTACGCGCCCTTCAAACCCCCTCCCCGAAAATGGACAAAAAAAAAGAGAGAGAGAGAGAAACTTTGCATACATTTCCCACCGTTTCAAATTATGCACTACTTAATATTGATCATAACACGCGACTGCAATGAAATATATTAAGGTTTGTGGTGGCAACATGAGAAAAGAGCTATTTCTGTTAAATATGAAGTGTATAGGTTTGCCAGGAACTGTTAAAGAACTCAAATCTAATTGCAACATTTCTCAACTTGGGTAGCTTCTACTTCAGTTTCAAATTACTCAGATCAGTAAGAATGGAAAAAAAAAAAAATCTTTTTTGTGATGCATCTCAAGTTGAGATCACATTTTTGATTTCTTTACAATTTTACAAAAGCAAATTTTATTTATTTCCCCAGATATCAATTTGAAAAACTAGTTATAACAAAGGAAAGCTAAAAGGAAAAAATATATTTTTTCATTGTAAACTACAGCATTTTAACCTAAAATACAAGCTTTTTATTTTTAGTCAAAAACATGAAAACAGAAATTTGGTTAATTACTCAACATAACAAAAAAGCAGCAGCAGTGAGAATCTCTCTGTAATGAAACTTTCTATAAAACTAGCTTGGAGGGATTTCAGACTAAGTGGCAATGGAATCTTAAGGAAACTTTTGATAAATATTTTTATTTGTTTTATTCAACTATTAATTAAAGTCTTCTTGAAAAACAAACCTCAAAAAACTTCATCACCATCATTAGGAATTGGAAAAAAAATATTAAAAGAAACCCCTAGAACTGATCGGGCTTCCAAAAACAAAAGAAAAGCTCGAATTTCCAAATACGATTTTTGTTAACAACACAAAAACAAATATCTAAATGTGCTATTTGTTTTAATGAGCGGAGAAAACAAAAGCGGAAAAAACAAACATCATAGCTCACCTGCAGTCTGGGCAGGGTTGATTCCTATTCCATCTGGAAAGAAACACATAATGTGAACAATGACAGTTATCATGCAAATAAGCTGCAACAGAATGACAAAGCAACCCCAAAACAGGCAATTCTATCTTGACTAATAAAGACCAAAACATCCATTCTGATCAAAGTAAATCTGATGTTTGATACATCAGTCATAGTGAAGCCATTTACATGCAAATTTCATCTTATTACTATTTGGAAAGACAAAATAGGCAGAAATGCACCAATTTCATATTGTCATTTAGATTTCTGATGAGCAAATCCTAATTATGGCTGCATACAATTGTTCTCTACAAAATATACTGACAATAAACATTTCCCTCCCAATGCATATACACTGGGTGAAAGACTTTCTCCCTTTCACCTTACCATTTGTTATAATGGCACTGGTTGCTGATGGCACTTTGAACTGTAAAAAGGGGGAAAAAAAAGATTCACGTAATCACACCATTCTCAGCAGTGAAATTCTCAACAGAAGTCTTTTTCAATATGTCAGCAGCAGAAAATTGTAATTGCTAAGCAATTTGAAACGTGCACAAAAATAGATTACTTGACCTAAAGACTTAATACAAACAAAAAACACACATTTGGGAAAACAAGAACAACTTCTGCACAATGAAACTCTCAGTCAGGAACACTTTGGGAAAAAAAAAAAAAAAAAAAAAAAAAAAATTCTTAGCAAATGTCCCGACAAGCAGAGTTTGTGAAACATGAAAAAAAAAGAAAAAAAAAGAAAAAAAAAAGAAAATGTGTTTTCAGAAATTCCTTCGCAAAATCTTGTACTTGTCAAAGACGAAAATTGCGCTAACACACTTGGTGTGAGAAGCTGAGGGGGAAAAAATAAATAAATAACCCAGGCTTGATTTCTGGGAGAAAAACCAGCCAGCCTGGTCACAATAAAGGCCATACTTCAGTGCTCAGCGGAAAGAGGATGAGAGCTGGTGGGATTTGCAGAGGGGAGGTGGGAAGGAGCAGTCTGGCACCAGAAAGATAAGGTTGGCCAAGAACTGTCCACCAGGCAATAGAAAGGAGAGTAAATGTGAAATACAGGTAAGGTCAAGCTCAGCTATTTAGTCTTTGTTTCAGTTTGCTAACGTCACCACAAATGAAAACGTCAAATCTACAACCGTTTTTGTGATTTCATGTCTGTCTAAATCAATATTTCGGAAAGGGTTTTACCAAGAGACACAACATCTAAATGAGCACAACTGAAATTGTGAGACAAATTCTGGGGAAAGCCTTCAATAGTGATGAAAAACAATTTAATTTAAAACAAATTTCTTTTATCCCATCACTGTCCCTCTCTGGGGCTGTGTGTGTTGTGGTGTAAAGAAAACATCCACGGCAAAAACAAAACTCCATCAGTATGCTGGTTCATAAATGAACTAAATTAACACCCTGCCAGCGCCCTGGAAAAGCAGCACATCAGTAGCTTCATCTCTCTCTGGGCCGTAGGACTCTTGTTGGTTTACACAAACACATCATGGAAGAATACAAGTGATTTCTTTTTTTCCCCAAGATCTGGATTGCTTAAAGCTGACTCAAGATAAAAAGTTGCATCATTCAGTCATCTACTAAGTACTTAATGGTTCATCTTTTCTAAACAGTTTCCAACCACATCATCATTAAATGTTTATTTGATTATTTGTTTTTAGGTAGGCAGAACTGTGTCAGCTAGATTCTAGATTCAGCTAGATCCTAGCAACGAGTCATTTATTTGATTGAGATGAGGGACGCAATGACAGGTTAAATGTTAGTAGCTGTAGGACTGGCCTGGGTACCCATGGTTTTAGACCATAATTTTAGTCATGTTAAATCATCGCAGATGTGTCATTTTGGACACGGCTGCCATCACCCAAATACAAGAAGGCAAAGGCAGGTGTCCAGGTGTTGTACATCAGGGTTTAAACTCAAACATTTTAACATTATTTTATTATAATGCATCGTTCGTTAAATATCCAAAGATTTAAGATATTTTCTTTTTTTTTTTTTTTTTTTGAAGTTCAGAACCCTGCTGGTGAGCAAATATTTAGATAGAATGTAAGTTTACCTCTTCAGCTGCAAACTTTAAAACCGCTGTGAAAGGTGTGCTTTCTGGGACACTTAATCTGAAAGCAATAAAACAAAGGAAAGGAAATAAAAAATGATCAAAACAGAACTTTGATGCTTTTTATCTAAAAGTAACAGCTGTCAGAGAACTCTGGAGGACACAGCAGAACAAACACTGACATTTTAAAGTTTGAATTAAATTGAGAGAGCCAAGTGAGATAATATAAAGAGAGCAGATGTCATATTGGACAAAATCAATTAGCAGTCAGTGCAGCAGCCAGAAGCGGAGAGCGGAGTGAAGCACCTACTAAGGCACCACTTTGAGGAATATATGGACAAGTCTGTTAATACAGAGTAATAATGATTAAACAGAGGACAACCTTTGAAATTCTCATCCTGAGTTCTTTTGTAGACTTAATTTGCCATTTCATTATCATATTCTCTTTATCTATGCAAACAGCCACAGTCAGACCTCATCTGGCTGTTAAATAGCTTCCTTTCAAAATTCAGAATACTCTGCTTGGCCCAATTGTCTTACCACTTACAGCTTACTGTTCTCCACTTGGAGCCACTTTCAAAAGCTAAGCAGAGCTTAATTTGTAAAAGCAGGTTAAGGAATTATTTAGTTTGACTTAATGCTGTTCTACATTGACCCATCATAAACAAGCAACCATGCACCCCTTTATATGAATAACTTTGACCTGTAAGGATGCAGCAAGAAATGTTGCAACAGAAAAAAACAACATCATGTGAGCTCATCTGAGGCAGGGTGTGGGAAACGCCGTTTGGGGTTTAGTTGCATCAGGGAGAGGAAAGCTGTTAATTATTTGTAAAGTTTGCATCATGTCAAACAAAGCTTACAGATTACACAAGTTATTCTGAACCGATATACAAATCCATGTTTAAACGTCTGAGTAGAGGAGAAACTGAAAACTGATGTGGAGCTACATTTCTGGTGTCAAGCAACTGACAGAAACCTTCAAACTTTCAAGAGGAGTTTCCTGTAAACAATATATATATATATATATATATATATATATATATATATATATATATATATATATATATTATATATATTTTACACAAACTTGTATGGAAAAAAAAAATGCTTATTCAATTTTCAAGTGGCTGGTGCCCACTTGGACTTTAATTTTCCTCCCTTGTCTTGTTTTATTAAAGATGAAATATATTTAGCCACAACATCTAATCATATTTGTGTCTAGATTAGAGCAGGGTTAACATAACTTTCAGTAAATTAAACCAAACACTTAGGATTTAAAAAAAAAGAAAAAAACTATTTTAATTTAAAACGTGATGTTCAAATGTACTTAAGCAATTCACCTACATCAGGGTCTTATTGCCCACATCTATCGGGTTTAAGTTTCTTATTTGAGTTAAAAATTAAAGACCAAACAAACCTCACCGTCATGCTTCCAATGGTGTACAAAATCTAACCATATCGAAGACTCAAAGCTTAAATTTAGGATCATTAAATATATAAAACAAACAACAGTTTTCGTAAAATACCAAGTTAGAAGACATGAATATAGAATTCTCTGCAGAACCTTTTTGACAACCTTCAGAAAACTACTTGCACTATTAGTCAAGTCAAAGGATTACGAAATAATCCAACGCTTGGAAGCAAACTACAAGCGACTCCTGATATAACTTTCGTATAAGTGTTTATTTTTTATTTATTTATCTTTTTTATGGCCGTACTCAACAGCTGTTACGCTGTTTCGTAAACTAGCTTATTGACAAGATAGTATTACTTCCACTGCAGAATGTAACGCCAAATTATTTAGAGCAAGGAGGGTGGAGGGGGGGGGGGGGGAGAATCACAATAAACCACAGCTATGAGTGCTGAGCTGTCAGAGAACTCACACTTTGTATGGCAGCCGGGGGTCCGACGTCAGGGTGATTTTAAACGTTACTTTGGACCTAATAAGGAGAATAAGAAGAGCGCTATTAAATATACAGACCGGACACCGACAATAATCTCTGTTCTCTGAAAATATCAAACAAGAAAGAGATTACACTCACATCTTTTAGGTGAGGCGGCTCCGTTGCAGTCTATTTATCCAGACCCGGAAGTCAGAAGGACCCGTACGTACACGTCATCAGTGTGACACTGACACATATTCATCGTTGTTTTCTGGAGTCACCAAGGTAAAAACATGTTTCTGGCATTATAATATTTTACTGCAAAGCACTTAAAATGTAATCAAATTTAAAGTTTTTTTTTTCTTTTTTTTTTTTTTTTCCCCCTCCTCCCCTAACTTACAGGCATTTACAGCAGACTACTAACTTTTACCGTAAAGAGCAACAACAGTGCGCAGAAAATTATTATGTGCACTTTTCTCTTTGCTGAACTTCATGTTTTTATTTTTTCCGATCTCCTGTTTTAGGAAAAAACATTACCACGATATTTTGTGTTGCTGAAAAAAAACAACATTATTGCAGATCAGAATGTCATATTGCAAGTCAAATGTAAAAATACCCTTGGAACTGTTGCATACCTTCATATCATCTTGAAACATATATTTTACCCTTTAGCGTTCATTTAAACACCATTTCAACAATCCATCTGAAAATTTAATCAATTCCAGATATTTTTTCTATTTTTACCTGTCCAATCATGAAATATTTTATTTTGTATTTCATACGTTCCCAAAAGATTTTTCAATAGGAATAAAAAAAATAAAAAATCTTCCTCTACCATTTAGAGATATAAGCATGAAGTTCTGTCTCTAAGTGAGAAACATCTGCAAGGACAAGCAAAACAGTCTGGAATCTAAGATGGTTGCCTGTGGAACCCATTTCAGCAGTGATAATATAAAACTGAAATGCTTAAAGAGCTGGTGAGTGAGCACTACATTGCCTTGTCAGATTACTTTGTAAAACATTAACAAAATCGGGAAAAAAAAATCAGCTTACTTTCTAAAAGTTTATAAAAACCCTTCTAAATCGGTTTCTGAAGTAGTAGATAGGAAGAGGGGCTGAAGTACTGCAAGCCTTGTAATGACAGCTTACCTAGAGAATAGGAGAAGACTCTTGGTGATGACTCAGATAAAGCGCAACCACTCAGGCACAACCTTTGGGATTTCACCAGTGAGGCATTGCCAGAAAAAAAAGAGTAAACCGGATAAAAAGATGTGGATTGGAAAAATAATAAAATTGACAATGTTTGCTGTAACACATGCAAGCATGTAGTTTGACATTTTTATAGTACTGTAAAGAGTTATCACTCTTTACAGTATACACACACTGTAAAGAGTGACAACAGTGTGCAGACAGAGAAACTATTATAGACATTGACATATTTAAACAAGAAAAGGACAGAAATAGACGCAGTGGTAATAAAGCAGTCACACTGAAGCTACTGGTTTGATCTTACTCTTTTTGATCGTAAAGAAAACCACATCGTAAGAAGTCCATTCTGCACAGAAATACACTTTTTTTCCTACATGCAAAGTCCTAATCTACAATTCTGGCAGAAGAATTGCTTGCTTTAGAGGTTGTGACAATTTGCTCATCATCTGGTTTAGGACAGACTGAGGATGTGTTCAAAGTGGGGAGACAGAGCTTTGAGTACATTGTTCAGCAAGCACAGAAAAAGCTCATTAACATATCCAAAGCAAGTCCTTTGGGGAGAAAGACAAAATGCCAATGCCAGTTATACTTCCAGCATAACACTGCCATCACTGTTAATAGTCCTGCCTGTGTTTTTGAGAATATCCAACATTAACACAGTATGCAGTGCATACAACCTACCCTCTACCTTATAGAACAGAGTCTTCTACATGCAGCATATGTAAAAAGCATTGGTGTGCATTACATTACATTACATTGCATTGCATTGCAATGCATTACATTACATTACATTACATTGCATTGCATTGCAATGCATTACATTACATTACAAGCATTGCATTACATCCTTCTGAGCTAGGTTAGCTAACTTTTTATCAAACATAGACAGGTGTACTGTGATATTACCTATTAATGTGTGCACTTGTTTTCAACTTCTTTGTGATGTTGTAAGAGAGGCTTTCAGTGGAGGCAGTGCAGTGCACTGGAAGCTGTGTTCTGCACTTTGAACAGATCCTCAGTCATCCTCAAAGAAGATGAGAGAAACTGTCAAAAATGTTAAACTAGCTGTTTCCTCATTACTGCAGCCCTAGTTGAAGACACTGCAAGAAAATATGCAGATCTTAATACTTGTCTTTTTCATGAAAAAACAAAAATGAAAAATACTTTCAAAGAAAAAAAATGTTTTTTTTTGTTGTTTTTTTTGTACAGTTAAATAATGAGTTCTGAATAAAATGGACTTTGATCGAGAATCTTTTGGAAGCCGCGAGTTTTGTGGAAAAACAGAAAAGGTTCTGATGAAACCTTACATGGAACGGAATTTGTAAAAAAAAACTCTCTTGGCATCTTCAATTTGTAAAAATCCAGATTAGTGGGTCCCAGAAAATAAAAGCTAGTCTGAGACGTAAGCAAACTTGTATTGTCTTAAAGAAAATCCAATCACAAAACATCAAAACGGTTTATGCAATCACTACAATAACAAATCTTTGACAATCTTATTATTATCCTATGAAAGCAAATTGAATTTTGCATAATTTGTTTTGATAGTTAGACCACCTTTCTTCTTTTGTAGACAAAAACATGCAATGATGCGCAATGACTACTTGATACTGAATGTTTAAGATGTCTTGGTAGGAAAACCTTCTTATTGCTTTTGCCCATTCAGTAGAAAAAATGATCTATTGCGTATTAGTTATCTGTTTTTGCAGATGTCACTTTCTGTGTTATTCTGGTAGTCTATCTTCCCTTGTGCATTGTGTTCCATTAACTTCCTTTTCTCTGCTCTTTTTGTCTCTTTGGTCCTGTGTTTGGAGTCAGTCACCCTCTTTTTTCTCATGCTCTGTTGATTTCCTTTCCCAGTGTGTTTCAATTCAGTACCTACTGGTCAAGTTAATAAATATTTTCAACCCATTTGTCTCTTTAGCTCCATGCTGTCGCTCTACTATTCTACATCTATGAATACATCCTAACTCATTTCAGTTTAATCATCAGTTTCTTCATAAAATTAACAGCCCAATTAATTTTTTTGTTATGCTTTGTCAAATTTTTCTTGTTTCTACCGTCATTGCTCCTGTTCTTGCCCTATAAATTCTTCATGTATGTTGGATTTATTTGCATTCAGAGTTGCTCATCTTTGAACTTTACTAAATCATTTCCTTGATATTTTACAATGGCTGTTGATGGCCTGATAGCTGCATTTGGTTCCTCAGCACAAAACATGACAGGAAAATGCTAAGTGTTTCTGTTCAGAGCTGCATCCTGATAACAAAACCGATTAAGTCATCTGCTCAGAGTTCTTACTTTCAAATTAATTTGAAAATATTGGTGGCAACTTGTAAAGATATCCTAATGCTAAACTTAATGACCACAACAGTACGTTGCAAGAATGTTCTTATCTTAGATGACTCTAATTGAAACTGCAACAAAATTTTCCAGATGGCCTCTATGCGTATTTAACATATTTATAGCTTTATGGTCTTTCACTTTTGAAATATAGAATCCAAGCAGCCATCTGCTCTTGACAGAGAGGTGCTTCAAGATTTATACTTTAATAACAAGCTTCTGACCTTCTCAGGCCCTGCTATTTTTGAAAGAACGCTGGAGTTATGATTGGATTTAAAGCCTTGCCTCCTCTTATCAAAAACACAGCCACTGGAGCGCAAGGTTATTCTGCAGCTCTAGATGGTAACTCGTATCAGAGTATACAGACATAGTTTGTAGGAGACATCTGTGACATACTTGTCTAAATAAGTATGTAATCTTGCATTTATTCTGAGGCATTATCAAGCTACCTCAGTGGTTAAAATGAAATATTTGACATCTTTCATTGTGGTGTAATTTACCAATATACAAATAAAATCAATCAAAATCAGACAGTAAGAAAAAATGTGTATATCTCTTTTTTATTCAGTGCATGTAAACTTCTAGTTTCAACTTTTGTGTCTTTCGGTATCTGAGAATTTTAACCAAGCTTTAGTCCACAACTCTTTTCTTGACAACTTGACTGTTATTTTAATTTTAAACAGCATGTTTCACATTAACTGAAATGCTGTGAATTAACCTAAACCCGACAGAGTCGTCACATTGTCGCGTTTCCTAAATTGTTTACAAGCATTATTATTCTGGCTTATGCAACCTTTAACCAGTAGGTCTCAAATTTTTGTAATCCTAACTTACCTAAAACAGTAACGTGTGTGATCTAATCACTTTTTACACCGTGTACACAACAGCTTCTTTAAAGTGTGTAATGGTACATTGTTAATATACAATATTTCAAAGGTATTGTTGAAATGCTTGCACTGATAATTAGGCACTAGTAGTTTTCATCCTAACAAAACAGGTACATGAGCCCTTAATTCATTATGAAACATAAGCATGAATAATCACAAGTGAAAAGCTCCACACATGCACCTCAGGCACTGACCCCCCTCTGTCACTCTTCTAATGTTTACTTACTTTGCATAATCCCCCGCATACTGAGTTCTAATTAAGTTTGAGCACGGTAATAAGTCGCTCGGGCTGTGTTAACACACGGAGGGCACAAAAAGCACAGAGCCAAAGCAGCTTTCTAAACTAAGTTCAGATGTTTCTCCAGGGAGCGTCACACAGTGACATAGTGGATGTTACTTCTGACTGAATGACTCAGACACTGCCCACAGTGCTCCACCTGATGCTCTGAAGTTAAGATCATTGATAGATCTCTATAACGTCTTCATTGCAAATGAATTTCCCAGACAAGTCTCAGGAGACAACATATTACCCTGCCTAGGTACACAACCCAAAATGGATCACTTGTGCATGTAAGTGGAAATGTGAATCACTGTAATTTATTCCCTTTCTTTCACAAAAAACACCATTACCAAAATCTAATGATGCACAGGAAAATAATTATGTTTTGCTCGCACTCTACGAGTTTAGACCTTTCAAAAAAAACCTGCTCGTTGATTTGTTATTGATAGACAAACATCGTTTTAAATTTGTAATGAACTGTATTTCTATCTATGGTTGACAACTCCTCTCTGTAATAAATATACATCTCAAAACTCAGCACGACCTCCAC